CTGCCCCCCTTTCCTGTCTGTCTTCAGCTGTCTCTATCATAAAGGCAATAAAAAGCCCAAAAAAAAAATACTTTAGAAAAGGGCAATCAATCCACTTTCATATGTGGTCCAAATCAGAACAAGTCTGATTCTTTTCAATGTGACCTGAGTCTGAGCAATAAATTAGAACTGAATGTAGTCTTAGTGTTATATAACGGAACGGATCCCTACAGAGATGGTGATAGAAATAGAGATAAGCCTTTTGTCAAAGAGTAAGATCCTTTTTGTTTAACCACAAACAGCCTGTATATGTTGGAAAAATGCATGGAGACAGAAGTTCATGAACAGCCTTTGCGGGATTTATTCAAATCGATACAATATAGTTCCAAGAAGTCTTCAGAAAACCAAGTACAATCACAGAACAACCACAGAACCCTTAAACGTCCATCGAGGCTTCTAGTCTTATACCTCTCATTGACGTCTTTTCTCGCCAGCAGTTGGTCTTTTCTCATCAGCGGTTGGCTAGTTATCAATTTTCCTTACAATGGTTGGCTAGTTATCAATTTTCTTTATAATTCAACATGTTATCTAATTTCGACAGAAGCGGATGGGAGCTGGGAACTGGTCGTTTCCAGTTGTGTGTCAAGGTGTTCTCCAATGTTCCCCTGGGTCCGTCCTTACAGGACGCTCTCAGTGTTTACAGAACAGGAAACTGTTCTTAATGTTCCAAATATACTCCATTAATATTGTACTAATATTTTTCACCACATAGTCCCCCCTGAGAATCAGAAGATGTCACTTAACAAGGCTTATCAGGTCTTACTTGTGACTACAATTACATATATGACTCAAATTAATATGTGATTACAATATGTGACTTACATACTTAAATGACAAAAAATGAATAACTCATGAATACAAGTGTAATACCACCTCACATTTTTGAGCTGCCACGCCCTCAGTGTGCAAACCACGAAAACCCTGTCGGCTGATGTTTCATATCTCTTAATTCTGTCCAGGGAAAGTCGGTCTGCGGCCCCTCCCACCGGCGACCATACACTGCAGGCGTGTCACTCCACAATCAGTTAACACACAATTACAGCTACACATAATTGTGTTTGGTTACCAGTGTTCAATGGGTATACTGATCAATACCATCCTTATAGATTACCTGTAAAATGATTATAGCACTTGACACAACCATAAGGTATTATACTGTTTATATGTGTGCTTAAAAGTCTTTTAGTAATCCTCCTTCTTTTCAGTTCTCCATGCATCCCACGTCGTTCTTTTCCTATGTTCTTTTTGGGATTGTCCTTAGAGGACGCTCTTAGTGTTTGCAGAACAGGAAACTGTTCTTAATGTTCCAAATATACACTATTAATATTGTACTAATATTTCCCACCACATATATTGCTATCGCTCGCTTTTTTAGACCTTCCCAGTCAGTCAGTTCGGTTTGGTTTGTCTTCTCATTCCTTTAATAGTTCTAAGAGACTTAGAACTCTCTCTGTTTGTGTGCATGTGTGTGCATGTGTGTTTGCACATTTGGCACATGTGAATGTGTATTTGTACAGTGTTTGTGTACTAACCAACTGGTCTGGCGGTGTCTGTTACAGAGGCTCCTCCCTCTTATGATGAGAGCTGCAACACATGAAGTGGACGAAGCACGAGCAACCTCCCGCCCCGCCAGGATAACGATCAATTCACTCTGATATCAAACAGAATGTTGGACTGTTTGGAATGACCAAAATAAGAGTCCTGCCATTTTAAAAGGTTGTAACCAACTTGGACAAAATGATCGCAAGACACAGAGGAAACCCAATGTAACCTGGTATGATAAGGGTTTTTTTAGGCCTCAACCCCCAGATTTTGTGCATATTTCTAGCTAAATGTAAGAATGCAGAATTTTGATTTGAAATGAAAGTGAATTGAGCTCTGTTGCCCAGTGAACATATACCTTCGCTCATCTATCCGGGGTTATTCTCTCCTTTGGACCAGCCACAGCCAATCAACGCAGCCTTTTTAAAATCAACGTTTGATGTACTTTTAGCACTTTGAGTAAAAGGAAAGAGGAGGAGAATATGCAGAATTTTATTTGCTGTTCTTTGTACAGCCACAGGAGTCATGATTTTAGTTGTAGGTTATCTAGACGGCATCTGTGATGTCAAGTTTGAATTTTTGTTTGATGTACCTGGCAAAACAAACCATCTCATTTAGTATTCATTTTATTTTTTATGAAAAATAAGAAATTAACCTGTGGATTTTTTATTGATCTTTATTCTTGTGGCATATTTTCATTAGAATTTCAATATTTAATACAGGATAAAATGGTTTGTTTGGAAAGGTCTTTTTTATTTGCCTTTGATCAGGAGTTATCAATTTTATGATGATAATGAACAATCCAGATATTGCTGTTGCAAGTCTACATATAGCTTTGTAAGGATAAAAAAAAAAACACTTCCATGTGGTTGAACTGTGTTGTAGTGACTGTAGACTTCCTATGAGAAATGGTGTATATTCTTCTTCCCCTGCTGAAAGTGCGTTGTTTCTGTACATGCCAGACATCTTCTCGTGTCTGAATTCTTTTAGTAGTTACAATAATTGAATATTGCTGTCATTGGAGGTTTTTCTTTGGCCCTTCTCAATGTAGCTCACATCTGTTTTAATCGCAGAGTTTTGTGAATACGTTTTCATATTTTTTGATCAAGTTAAATCCATAAACATGCAGAAAGACAACGGTTTTATTTTATTATTTATTATTTCTGATTGTTTTTCCAACTGCTGTCTGGATTCCAATAAATCTGTTAAAACAATTTTTGTTTCAGTTTCTGTGGCAATGGGATGTTGTTTCTGTTCTTATTTCACAAAGACCCAATTCTGCTTTGTGGTTCCGGTAAAGCAGACACTTGGTATGTTTAAAGGGATGTAACTGTATATCAATTAATGTGTTCTTATGACTTAATTTCATTGTTTTCTATTGCTGGGGAATCCCAGTCAAAAGCACTAAATTCATAATGCACTGCTATTTATTGAGTTTGCCATGGGTCTTAATGTAAAGTATCACACGCGTGGCTCAGAGGAAGGGTGGGTCGTCCACTACTCGGATGGTTGTTGGTTTCGATCCCAGGCTCCTGCCTGCCACATGTCGAAGTATCTTTGAGCAAGATACTCAAGATACTCCTATCTGAACTGTGTGAATGTGAATGTGCATGATTTAGTTACTTTTCGATGGGCACTGAGTGAATGTGTGTAAAAGGGTAAATGTGGCACGTAGTATAAGTACTGTCAGTCATTTTCAAGGAGACGAACACAGATGCAGCAGACATAGATTTCCTCATGTGCTCTGTCTAGTTTAGTTTTACACAATTTGGAAATGATCCAACTTTCCTAAAATAATAATCGGCACTGGAAAGAAATTTGTAGTATCCTTTAAGATCCAATGGTGTATAAGTCTATGGATCCATATTCAAATCTGTATATCATATTGTATCATATACAAAATAAATAAATATGTCAAAATCTTGTGCATTAGTATCTGTCTGTATACAAACATATCACAACCTTGGATCTTCCTGTTTGTACCTTCATTTCAGTGCTGTTTTGTTTTTCTCAGATGACATTAAGTACATGACTAATTACGTTTTGATAGGAAATGAGTTTGACATTGACCTTAACTTGACACCCTCACATTGCTTCCTTTATAGAAGTTTTGAGGGCCAAAGAGCCAAAATTATCCAATGTTTCAAAAGCAAAAATTTGAGAAAAGTCTAAAAAATGAATACAAATGTGTTTAGCAGAGCTGTTTTTCCCCCACTCCATTAATCATCTCACAACCTCTCAGGGACCAATCACTGCTGGGTACAACTAAACCAAAATGCTGAGCAGCTACAACAGTAAAATGCTGCTTCCACACTGATACATCAGTATTAACAATCTAAGTAGTACACTGCATACAAGAAAATGTTTTCATTTAGATAACTAGCTTACTTGTGGCTCCATCATCACATCAGTCACAGTGAACAGTTGTACATATGATGCCACTCACTGGCCAAATCAGAGCACTGCTGCCAAAAGGCAGAACATTGATATTTACACAAATGTACATTTTATAAATCTCTTCCTGTGTTTGAAGCAGTTAAATGTTATTTCTTAAGATATGTATTTTAGATAGTCCCCTTTGAATTTACAGGATAATTTTACTAACAATTTGGGGGGTTTCTGTTCTCCTTTCCCTCTATATTTGTCTCTTTAGATATTATCTTATGTACAGATATTTGATTTTGTCTGTGTATCTGTCAGATATGTTCTCAGTATTATAATGAATTAATGGCATGATCTGTGAATCTTGTTTAAACCTTGATATACACTGAAGAAAATTCATTACAATAAATATTTCAAAAAAACACATATTTCATGTGATTTGACTGTAGGGTCAAACCCTTAAATATAAAGAATAATATAAAGAATGTTAGAAAATAAAAAGGGTCAATAACTTTCTGAAGAAAAGAGGAATTTATATATATAGCTTGCCCTTGCTTTATTAAAAACATATTTGATTGAAAAAAATATTTACAAATCTGAGGGGAAAAAAAGGATTAACAGTTTATGTTTTTATTTGTGATAGGGTTAGGTTCAACTGAAATCACCTGCCAGCAGAGTGGAACATTGAGACCGAAAACATTTCTTCTCTTTTTCAAAATTTATTTACAGGTATGCATTGTTAGGTTAATATTTTGCTAACAGCCTTTGTATTTCTGTGACTTTTTAATAAAGTATGAGCCTCTTTTCTGTATATATATATAACGTTAAGTTATATATATATACATATATACATATACATCCTTTGCGACAAATTTACAGATGACTGCAAGAGGATACACTGTTCTCTACTTCCTGTTTCGCTTTAATCCCTTAAATTAACCCGCGAAAATGTTTCTATCGTAAATTTGAGAGTTTTACTAATCTTCGGGGCTCACATGGATACAAAAGGTGAATTTAGCTAGCGTCGTCCTTACTGTAGGCAGTAGCTAACAGCTCACCGCTGGACTCTTTCCCAACCCGTCAGGACATTGAAGAAGCGCACGCAGCGCGTCACGTGTCGAGCGGGTGAGGGCGGAAGTGGAAACTCTTGTTTTCCTGTCCCATCCTTCCCTACCTTCGCTCGGATACAGCTACACCGACTGGAGCTGGTAGGATGAAAGTCTGCTGCTGTAACTTTTCTGCCGCGGCCTCGTGTTAACTTTGGGTGATATTTGTACGCGGTTTCCGCTCTGTTTGTCTCATATGACTCCTTCCTGACTGCTGCTCCACCGGGCTCAGCTTTGCTTTGCCTCTCTTCCATCTTTAAGCCTCAATGTGATGCAAATACGTGATAACTTTGGTTTCGCTGCACTATACACTGCTTTACATGTAGAATGTTGCAAGGATGTAACTTACATCCTGTATGAACGGTTGAGTAATGAAAGAGTTCCTCATGTTGTTACTTACTCTGAGACACTGTGTGTTCTAAGCTTTGAAGAGTGGAGTAAAACTAGTGTAAACTTCTCAGGTGCTGCTGTGGTCCGACTGCTTTCAACTATCAGCCCCTCAGGATTGCAATGGATCAAAGTGGAGCCAGTGAATGGCCTGGACGAGGCAGGAGACCCTCCAGTCCCTCCTCTGGGACGCCCATGGGTGCCAAGGGACAAGCTGCACAGAACAGTCAGAGGCCCAAAGTAAAGATAACTCCCTTCCACAGCTCGCCCATAGTCAGCGGTGATGGAGCTCTCCGCAGCAAACGGCCAGGAGCTTCTGGGAGACCGCTGGCATCCCCTGGCAGCCTGTTGCTGGACACACCTTGTCGGCTGATTGCTCCCCCTGTCAGAGAGAGACTTGCTGCTGCTGCTGCTGGTGCTGCTGCTGGTGCTGCTGCTGGTGCTGCTGGGAGCTCAGGGGAACAGACTCCCAGTTCAGGCTCTGTTCTGGCTACAACAGGAGAAAAGGCACAAGCAAGTCCTCTTATTGCCCGTACTAGCGACAAGTGTTTGAAGAGTGTTAAGCAATTGCATGGGAAAGAAAATCTTTTCAAATCCAATCTCTCTCCTGTTGACCAGTAAACATGTAATATTGAGAGAGGAAGTTGAGAATGAGGCATATGGTACTAATAAAAAACTTGGATCCTCACAATACAAAGGGTCAGGAAATAGATGTAGATAGAGGTTGGATATTGGCACATAAATGTTTTAACATCAGTGAGTGTAATTCTGTAACATTTTATGACCTATGGGGCATGTGTAACTATTTAGTGACCTATAGTAGAGTTTAGTTGTCTAAATCACAACTTGGTAATAATTTACGTCATAACTAAATTTGAACTGACACACAGCTGGTGCAATAGGCTGCAGGGTATATAACTTGTGCTTTAGCAGTCAAAGAAGTGTTATAATATTTTGTTTACTGTTTTCCACCAGTTATTACTCTGTGCTGTCATTTGACTTGTTGACAATAATTAAATTAATTCATTAACTAAACACTAGCTCTAGATCGGGCTTTTTCGCGAGTTTTGCGGCGAGCATAGTTTCTCCTACATGCTTGGTTGAGACGACGAGTTTCAGTCCCCTCTAAATCCTACACACTGGTCCTTTTTAAATGTAATAACTGGTTTATTCTTGACTCCTCCTCTCTCATGTATGAAATCAATAAATAAAGTGTTTGTCTTCTTTGTGCCCCCAAAGGCCGCTGGCAGGAAGGCACCAAAATTGAGCCTGGCAGACTCTGTGAAGTCTGGACCACCATCTACCACAGCGCTTCGTCACAGCCAGAAAGGCAAAGGCAAAGAGAGGAGAGCTGTCTCCACCTCCGTCAAACCTCAGTCAGGTTTGTCGATCCTTTCTCTGCAAACTTTAGTCTTAACTTTTAAAGATGCCTGATGGACACAGGTTTCAGCTGAGAGTACAACACATATACTTATGCAGTCGCTGCAGTATGCGACTATGGCTGCTGCACCAACCACTATGTAAGATTTGGTATTTGTGCGATTTGGCACCTGCAGTTGCAATACCACTGTGGTAAATATGGACAGCTGTACAAAACTAGCAAGTTGACAACTTTGCTAGCACAGCCAAACATTAAGCAAGTGCAACAACATAAGACATTGCAAGCCAGCTCTCCGTCAGCATTCCCTGCATCCCTTGGGGGACGCAGAGCCAAAAGTTACATAGTGCAAGAACAGGAGTATGGGGCGCAGACTGGGAATGACAGAAGCACCCTATTACAACTCAGTGTAGCATCAAAATGATTTTAATTCTTTTATTTTAAGGTAGTAAAGTTACATAATGTTGCTTTAATGTGGACAGTTAATAAGGTATAGCTGTAAACCGTGATATTCAGGTATTATGTGTGCATAGATAAAGAGCTGGAATGTGTGCAGACAACAGTTTGCATTTGATGCACTTCACATTGTTAAAAAAATGACACAAATATCAACCTCTGTGCAAAAATACTAATCTACTAATCTGATTGTGCCTTATACCTACAATAAGATTTATTGTTATTATACTGTGGTTCTTTTTTTCTTTGTTTGGCTTTGTGTTTTAGGTTTTTACTCTGTACTGTGTGAGTGTGTATGTTCCTGTTAGCTGGGAAATCTGCTTATTTGAAGTTTCTGTAATCTAAATGTCACATTAACGTTTTAGTCCATCCTCCTCCTATTTGTTGATGTGAGAAGCATAATTATAAGAAAAAGTATTTTCTCATTGCCAGAGTTTACGTAATAAAAGCACATGAAGTTGAGTCTAAATGTTAAAAAATCTCTCCCATGAATACATGTGCTCTTTTTTTAAATGTTCATTGTTTAAATTAAAGAATTTACAGCCCATTAATTGAAAGGTTTACAGTGATTAATCATAAGTCTCCAAGATTATTTCCTGGTGGAATGTTCCGGCCTCCATCTAACCTTATTCTGTGTGCCTTTCCTAGCTGTGAAGAGGAAGAAGAGAAAGATGGGAATGTACAACCTGGTCCCCAAGAAGAAGGCCAAAGCACTTAAACTGCAGGGCAAGGCAGGTCCATTTATTGTTTATTCCTGTGTGTCAGACCTCCTACCAGCCCTCTGTCAGTAACCCAGATGAGAATGAGTGCCTCAAACAATATGTTCACTCAAATACAATAGGGATTTTTCATATGATGTTTATAGTCAGTTTAATTTATATAGCCAAAAATTACAAATCTCAATTAGCCTCTGGGGGTTATAATCTGTCACATATTTTCTAGATTATTGTGATAATATTGTGACATATTGTCCCATGCCTAGTTGTCGTGTTGCACTGATTCTTTTTGTGTTCAGGCTGTAAGAGCTACAAATGTCACTTACTTTAAAAATTACTCTTAATAACTTTAGATGTTGGCCCCAAGTATGTATGTGGATGGAATACTAACACACACAAATGTCATTCCTGTATTTAATCAGAAAGAGGAGTCAGGAACCCGTATAGAGAAGAACAGAACTGCAGCAGATAAGAAACCAGTGATTCTATCAGAGACTGTAAAGCCCGCAAAGCTGCCAGCTGCCAAAAATGAATCACTGACAGAGGTGGAACCTGGAGAAGGCAGCCACGTTGAATACACAGAGCTGACTTTGGACTGTCTGGACCTGAAAGCTCAGGAAGAGCTGCTCTCCCCTCCCCCGTCTAGTGGTAACAGCATCTTACTGACTGATTTGGCTTCATAATATTTATCTAAGATCACCTGAATTTATCATGTCCCCTTTTCTTCTACAGAATACATTTAATAGGTCACATAGGTCAGTTTCTTGGTGTGTTATGTCTAGTGAAACAGTGTGTGTGCGTGTGCGTGTGTGTGTTTGCGTGCAGGTGTAGCAGCAGATGCAGAGGTGACAGAAACAGACCTGGCTGAGGAGTTGCCACTGTGCTGCTGTCGTATGGAGACTCCTCACAGCGGAGGCAGTCTGTCCACACTGGAGCAGACTTGCATGGCCATGGAGAGCACGGATGGAATGGTAAAGATCATCTGAATGAATAAAAACAATGATGTGTCACTTAGATTATGGTCTGTTAAAATATTAGACAGACATCCCATTCAGTTACCGCAGACTTGTTTAACCTGAGAAAAGTGCTACTGATGATACAGTTGAACAGTTTTAGTGTCCCGGGAACTAAAGCTTCATTTAATTCCTGGAATCCAAAAATACCTTTGTATGGAAAACAATAAATATTTGAAGGAAAAGTAAAACTAGAATCTAGATTATATAAAATCTGTTGCTGAGTAAGGTTGTTAAAAGTCCAAAAGCATTAACTCTATTGGAACACTATGGGTTATTATGGGTATTTAATGTTATAACAGTATGGTGGGTTATTTTTGTGAACTACTTGATTTTCTCTCCATAGCTGAGTCGCTGCCAGAAGCGAGTAATGAAACAGGAAATGATGCGACCCTCCAACACGGTCCATCTGCTGGTTCTGTGTGAAGACCACCGGGCCGGGATGGTTAAGCACCAGTGCTGCCCCGGCTGTGGACTCTTCTGCAGAGCGGTGAGGGCAAACAAAGCACACTGATACTGTAGATACTTAGAGGTTTGACATTAGCACTAAATTGTACTTATTTTGATTTATAAATTCACAGTAGAATTTATCAGGATTATACTGGTTATCTATGGGAAGATTTCAGGTAAAAGTTTTGTTCAGTTATGGAGGAATATTGGTGAGATAACATCCTCTCTTTCCTCTTCTCCTTTTTATTTCCACCTATTATGTTTTTTATTCACCTTCATTGTCTCTTGGTTCTCCTTTGCCTACTCTTTGTTCTAAATCTTCCTGTTTTTCTTATCTTTCAGTTTCTTTTTCTTCTTACCAATTTCCATGTCCATCTACCTCTCATCTCCTTATCCTTATCCTCTGTGTCATCTCCTGCTTCCTCTCACTCCTCCCTGCTAACCAGGGGTGCTTTTATCTCAGGACACCCTTCTGCAGTAGCAGGGGGCTACATGGACAGAGTATGGAGTAAAAGTGAACTTATGGTTTGACTAAAAATATATCCAAACAGATATATAAGTAATGGATATATGGTTAAAATAAAGCTAAAAGTAATCTATAACTTGTTATAGAGAGCTAAAAGTATTGGATACATTTTTGAAGTAGTAACTAAAAGTAATGGATAAGCAGTTTAAGTTTGCAGTAAAAGTATGGGTAAATTTGCTGAAGCAATGAAGTAATGAATAAATAAAAATGATCTAAAAAAAAAGACTCATTGATCTCAACAGACAGTTGAAATAGTCCGTCAAAGGTAATGGTAATGGATACATAGTTGAAATGGTTAGCTAAAAATAATAGATAGCTAGATAAAATAGCTAAAATAATTTTTGAAATAGCTAGCTAAAAGTAATGGATAAATATTTCAAATAGCTAAAAGTAAATGGTGGAACTAAAAGTGGTGGATAAATGGTTAAAATAGATAGGTTAGCTAATGGATAAATGGTCGAAATAGCAAATGGTACTGGAGAAATAACTGAAATAGATAACTAAAAGTAGTTGACAAATGGTTGAAATAGATAGCTAAAGCTAATGGATAAATGGTTAAAATGGTTAAAGGTAATGGATAAATTGTTGAACAAGATAGCTAAAGCTAATGATAAGATAAGATAAGATATTCCTTTAATAGTTCCACAATGGGGAAATTCCAAATATATGGTTGACTAAATAGCTAAAAGTAATGTTAAATGGTTAAACTAGCTAAAGCTAATGGATAAATGGTTGAAATGGATAGCTTATGTCATTCCAAGTGGTATTGGTAGTACAAATGCAAACTTGACCAAACTGCAGTGTTTTCCTGCTTCCACAGGGCACCTTTATGGAGTGCAGGCCATACGGCAGCATCTCCCACCGCTTTCACAGAGACTGTGCCTCCATCTTGAAGGATCTCAAGTTTTGCCCCCACTGTGGAGAGGATGCCAGCAGGGCGAAAGAGGTCACCGTGTCAAATGCTGATCCGTCGCCCTCTGTACCCAGGTCGAACCCTGGGCCATTGCTACCCACTGTGGCCACACTGCCATCAGTACCAACCACGCCTGCTGTTCCACAGATACTCAGAGCTAAGAAAACCAGCGAGCCACAGAGGAGCAGAGACGAGAGCCCGAACAGGTAACACTGAACTCATGCTGCTTATATTATCTCATCTTCCCATATAGAATGATGGAGACAGAACTTCACTAAACTATTAAAGAGTAATTAAAATTTAATAAAACTCAAATCAAACAAGAATCTTACTACTTGCTTTCTATGTCCAGGTTAAAGGGCGAGGCTGTGGGCACTGCAGATAGACTACCTAAAGAGTCACTGGAGAGCATCCTAATGGCACTGGATGATGAGAAGTAAGGTTAACCATGAAATATTTTGACATCACTTTGCAAAAAAGTGCAATGTGGGACCTCAGTTTGCACTTTGATATAAATAATTAAGACCTTTATTCATTTTAGCCTGAAACCAAAGAAAGTGAAGTACCCCACCAGACAGCTGTACATCTCTGCAAAACAAGGCGAGCTCCAGAAGGTCATTCGTCTTCTAGGTAACTCAGTTATATTGTTTGACATGCTACGATAACTGTGTATTTTTTAGCCCACTGATATGCCAAACTTTGCACATTGCAGTTGATGGAAAGGACCCCAACTTTTTAATGGAGGGCCAAAACAAACGCACCCCTCTTCATGCAGCAGCTGCTGAGGGCCACCAGGAGGTCTGCCACATGCTGGTCCAGGTGAGGACACTGTGGCTTAACTACAGGCTGCGCTTCAGTCTGTATTTAGTGTGTCTCAGAGTAAAAAGTCAGTTCAAAACATTTCAGTGACTAATTTTTGGTTCTAAATAAAGGTCTTAGATTAAAAGCATTTTATTTATAGAACTTGTATGCACTTTCTATATTTGGAAATAGGGACCCCCTATAAGTTCTTTTTAAAGGTACCACACTAAGATAACAATCTTTAATATGTAATGTAGTAATGTATATTACTAGTAAAATATACTCATAGGTGTTTTTGGTGTAAAATGGAATAAGTTAAAGTGGAGATTCCATAAATGTACATTAGCATAAAGTTATCAAACCCATATACTGGCAACAGTTTATCATTTTTTTCATGTTGTGCTCAGAAATCCTGTTAGGTTATATCAGAGTCTTAATGAGTGATGTTGGGATTCTGTGTGTATGTGTGTGTGCACATAGGCTGGAGCCAACCTGGACATGTTTGATGAGGAGCAGAGAACGCCACTGATGGCGGCCTGTGAAAACAACCATCTGGACACAGTGAAGTACCTGCTGAGAGCTGGAGCAGCTGTCAGCCACAAGGTGGGTCAGTCTGTGCTCAGTCAGTGTCAATTTGTTCTACCAGCCAGATGTGTGCTCATGTCAAATTCTGCTTTCCCATCCATCACTCAGTCCAGTGTCACTCTGCTGCTGCTGCTGCTCAGTCCTTTTATACAACTAGTTTTAAATCACAACATGGATGTGATTCTTTTTACCTTCCAAAAAACATATTAAAGGAACCAAAACCAGTTTACATTGACAGGGTTTTCACCTTTTAGACAAACATCTTCTCATAGGATAAAATTGATGACGAAAACAATTTAAATACAAAGACTTTTGTGTAGCGGAGGATCATAAATAGAGACAAATAAACTAAAAATAATTTATTAGACATTTTTCTTTTCTATTCACATTGTTTGGTCTATAAATGTTCTTCAGTTGGTGAGACAGACACAAGAACATTTTTATTAAGATGGCTTCACACTGTCTGATGTAGGTCTAGTACCTAAACGTGTTAAATAGATGTTGTATTGCACGTTAGACAGAGTGTGGGATTTATCTTTGCAACTTTTTGCTAGGGCTGTTTTCCGAAAGCAGGACCTGAACATCCGCATTGTAAAGTTATTTTCGCTTTGGTAACATTTTTGCAGATAAAATTTGCCCACAAACTGGACACTGGTGCGGTCTTATGCTCATAATAAAATCTCACAAACATGCCCTTGTTCATGTACAGGTGGTGGTTGTGCAGTTTAGAGAGTAGCACTGTGTATGACTGGTTTTCAAGTCATGAAAACACCTGGAAGTTGATTAAAATGAATAAAATAAAATTCCAATGTCAAGTTATAACTTATGGTGCCAATGAAATGCCCTTTCTGTTGGACTTAAACAGTGGTGGCAGCAGTGCAGTCTTGTTCAATGTGAATCATGTTGTCATCCCAGGATATCATGGGTTTCACCTGTCTGCATCTGGCAGCTAAACTGGGACATTATGACATAGTCCATCATCTGCTGTCCAAGGCATCCAAATACATCAACTGTCAGGTAAACACACACACACTGCCTCATTTACTAACTGCTGCTAACAACTAATAAAATAAAATAAATGAAAAGTCACATGTCAGTGTAAGTCTTTGCAGGAGTTTCACAGCTTGTGTCTGTGCAGGATGATGGTGGATGGACTGCCATCACCTGGGCCATCGAGTACAAGCACAAGGAGCTGGTCCACCTGCTGCTGGCCAAAGGGGCTGATGTTAACATCAGAGACAAGGTCGGTGTGCACACCATAACACTCTGTTTTCACACTTCATACAGCATTACAGCTCATCAAGGTCAACTCTCTGACAAGTGTGATCTCATGGGATACATAATATTTTTTCACCTCTATACGGAGAGAAATTTAAGTACAGTATACTGGCGAAGCAGAGGTGCTGTGTCACCTTGAACAAGGAAAAAAGTAGGCTTTATTTTATGTGATGATTAGAAAGGATTTCTAAGTTGGACTGTAAGGATATCACAGCATTTCATTACTGCATCATTGTGCTGGATATATAGTTGCCCAATAATAATAATAATAATAATAATAATAATAATAATAATATTAATAATAATGATGTTGCGGTAACTTTTAGTGCAAGTAAAAGAACATTTTCTCAAAAAGTTAGTTCATTAACTTAAATGTACTACAAGGAGAACTGATGCCTCTGTATGGCCTTCATGAACATACATTCTTAAGGCCTGCCACTGGGTCAGCTTTGGTAAGATTTTGTCCAGAGGGGCCATCAGAATCAACACAAAATAAAAGTTCATACATTTGCTATCATCATCAACATCGTGGCAATTTACTTAAAGGTTTGAGAAGTTGTTTAGATTTCATTGGCACTCATTTGGCATAACTTCTACAGTCCCGTAGCTTATAGGAAACCAATGTCACTCCAACAGCTGCCTCAGGGTTCCCTCTAAGTCATGGACCGCTTTGCTTTAGAAAGGTGTTTTTTAGTAGGTAACTTCATGTCAAACTATGAGGGGTGTTGATTTAGCAAGTCTTGCATCTCCTCATGACCAGGTGGCATTCATCAAGTTAAGACGTGCAATTTTCAACAAGTTTGAGCAGTTTGATGAATCTGACTTGGAACGCTTCACTGAGCAAACCTGATGATGGAAAAGTAAGAGTCAGCCATGCTAGAGGCTCTGTGAGCCTGTACTTATGCACAGCGGTACATAGAGCTAAATGCTAATGTCAGCATGCTACTTATCATTAAAAACAAAGTACAACTGAGGGTGAGGGGAATGTCATTAGTTTTGTCGGTATTTGTTCATAAACCACAGTGTAATTTTGACCTGATGATGACATGAGATGTGAAAACCACATCAAAACCATGTCAACCTCATGGTGGCACCGGAGAAAAAGCCGCTAGGATTGGACACCATGAATTTCTGAAGGCAGAGAGATTCAGATTATGAGACCCAAGTCATATATACCTGTATTCTATATGCAGTGCAGTTACGTCAGCACATAAAGGTGATCTTGTATTTGAGGACATAAATTGGTATAAGTAACCTCTTCTCGCTCAATACTGATATTATCTGTTTGACTAGACAGTACCATACTAAGTAACATATCATTAACTTCCCACTGACAGAGCACATAACTCAGTGGATCATCTTACGTAAAAGCCTGGCCTGTTACTCTCCTACTGTTAGAAGCCCTGCCTCTGTCAGAACATGATGTCAGTGCTGACCTCTCATTTGCTCTTTGTTCAGGAAGAGAACGTCTGCCTGCACTGGGCGGCTCTGTCGGGCTGTGACGACATTGCCCAGGCTCTGCTTGATGCTCGATGTGACCTCACCGCTGTCAACGTTCACGGTGACTCACCGCTTCATGTCGCTGTCAGAGAGAACCACCTGGAGTGTGTGATGTGAGTGTGTAGTCTGGAAACATTTGATATGCCATTGGGCACAGGTTGAAAAATTAGAAAGTTTGAATGCATGAGCACATGCTCAAAGGAGGTGGCACATTTGAAAAATGAAAAATGCATCCCACTCAAGATACACCGGACAACCTGACTGGATGCTGTAGAGAAGCAGCAGTTTAGGGGTTGAGTTCGGATTCTTACAGCTGTCAGTGAAGATCCTATGCTCAATTCAACATTTTAATAAGGTCTATATTTAAAATTATCCTTTAACGTCATGGTTGTATACAATAAATGTTCAATAACAATTGAATTGCTGTAGCACAGAACATAAATATGCACCATCCCATTTATGTTCAGTTCAGTTAAGGTCAGTGGCAGATAATGTTTTGAGTTGTATTATGTTTTAGAAAACCGTGAAAAACTTCTCTTTGTGTGTGAAGACAGATACCTGGACAACTATACAAACTACTTCACTTATTACTGCTTGGCTTATTATTTACTGAAGTAGTTTGAATGTTTGCATTCTGTTAGCAGGGTGTCCACAGGGTCTTAAACAGTCTAAAATCCATAGTTTCCAGATAGCTCACTTAGTAGAGCTGGCGTCCAATGTATAAAATAAAGGACTGAGTCCTATGCTGCAGCGGCCATAGGTTTTATATCCAACTGTGGCCCTTTGCTGCATGGTCAACCCCCCCCCCCCTTTCTATGTCATATTTATCTAATAACTAAAAACAAAAAAAGTTCAGTCCTCTGAATATTTATAGATATGTTTTCATTAGTGTATAATTACCTGAATATAAGAGTCATTGTGTTTTTGTTACCTTAGAATGAGCTGTTTATATCTACAAAGGGAGTGGGTCCTCTTCTATGGAGTCTGCTATGTTTCTACAGTAGCCCAGAAGGGACAAACCAAACACTGGCTCTAGATGTGGCCTTTTGCGAGTTTTGTGGCCACCGCAGTTTCTCCTACACACCTGGAACACAGACTGAGAGCCAGACCTTATGCCCCAGCAGCAGTGTTGGACCTCACTAATGCCCTTGTGTCTGACTGGGCTGTTATTGCAGCACATAAATGGTTTTCAATGGTTTAAAAATGAAATCCAGCCTCAATGTGTCCACAAACTTTGTTCAAGTGTCCATGTACTTTTGGCATGCCTGTGTCAACTACAGAAATATCTGCAGGATATTGTTTTCATTCATATTGATTTACTTGATACACCAGTTTATTGTCTTTTTCAGCTTGCTTTGCTGTCTCTGTTATATTTCACAATTTTTCTAACGTATACATCCTCCATCCGCAGGTTGTTTTTGTCTCGTGGTGCTGACGTCAATCAGAGGAACAGGGATGGAGAGGCGGCTCCGGACTGCTGTGTCTACGGCTCCAAGGTGTGGACGGCCCTCAATGCCAACAAGAAGCTGACTGACGCCAGGAGAGGCAGGGACTGTCAAGGGGAAAGAGTACTCAGCAGGTAGCCACAACTGTTGTGTGTGTGTGTGTGTGTGTGTGTGTGGGTTGGTGTGGGTTGGTGTGGGTTATATAATATTATTAATGTTTGTTTTCTAATATTACATGTACGTATAGAACGGTTATTTATAATACATATTGCTGCTGTCTGCTCTCATCTCTGTTTAGGTGATTTTCATTGGCACTGTTCCTCTGGGAATTGATATATTTCTACCGGTCTTGCTTATGGAACATTTTTTTAAATCTAAAAGATGTATTCTAGAAATGTGTGTTAGGGAATTACAGATAAGCCTAACACACATTTCTAGAATTTCCACCAACAAGGAACCGGTTCTGTTATGGTTCAAACACCTAGTTTTGAGTGTTTTAACCCAAAAAATACATGGGTTGGAATCTGAAAAGTTAAAATAGCAGGTTTTCCTTGGAAACTAAAGTGGGTGTGTCATATTCTACAGGTTGTTGTGTATTGTGGAGTACCCTCTGTTGATGATGCATCTGATTGCTAGATAGCACCAAGGTTCAAGAATCTTGAATGGAACTGGTTCAAGAACCAGAACAAATTTGGTGGAAAAAGGGGCCATAGGCCTTTTCCACCAACAGGGAACAGGCTCTGTTTTGCTTCAAACACCTAGTTTTGAACCGTTCGGAGCATTTCGACCCAACATAAATTGGTTTGGAACCTGAAAATTTGTTGGAACCAAAAAATTGCAGGTTTTCTCTTGGGAACCAAAGTGGGCATGTCATACTCTACAAGTCGTTGTGCTGTGCCCTCTGTTAATGACACATCATTTATTACAATGGTTTGGCTCAAAACTGGTGGAAATGTGGGCTGGTTTGCTATATAGCACCAAGGTTCCAGGAATCTTGAACGGAACCTGTTCAAGAACAACTAATAAGGTCAAATTATTGCCTTACAAATAACTTTATTGTCCCCGAGGGGATATTTGTCTTGGGCACAGTGCTACAATGTGTTGCTTTGCATAAAAGAAATCAGAAAACCAACATGAAACATTTTAAAACATGCAAGACACTATGCTTTTAACACTGACAGCTTAAAGAGAGAGACCTTTAGAATTAAAGTGCTAAAGTGCTGGCATATTTATTGCACATTGCTTAGATTTAGTATTAGAGTTCAGAAGCTTGATGGAGGTTGGGACGAACAATAGCCTCAGTCGTTTTGATTTGCACTTTGGCAGACGGAGTCTTCTTCCTAATGGCAGAATGCAATGCTTTTATTATTAGATGGTTTTCAGTCTGGTTTTTAAACCTTTGCTCCAAAATTAAAGCTGCATTCATTCAGTATTATTTTGGCCACTTGTGGGCAGAATTCTACAACAAGATCAGCGTGTTAGCAAATGCATCCAGCAGACAAAGAGCAACATTCATTTGAAGTGATGTTTCTGTCCACCCCAATGAATGTATTTAGAGATGCACAATCCACCTTTTTCCACTTTTCCAAACTCCGTATCCTACTGTACGTTATACATTGGTTACAAACCTAAACAACCCATACTACCCCTGTAGGCACAGAGCTGCAGTAGGCACATTGTTAGCAATGCTTAGCATAACGGAAGCAGGGGGAAACAGCTACTCTGCTCTGTTAAGTGAAAAATACACCTAACATTCTAAAGCTTACTGATTAACACACTGCAGCGTGTTTATTTAAGCCGTAAACAAACAGACAGACATGTGCTGGACACCATTAAACTCTTTTTCTTTTTCAATTTCTGTTTGTGTAAGTGTTGGTAGGCATATTTTTCACTTTGGACAGAGCCAGGCTGTTTCCCCCTGTTACTAGTCTTCATGCTAAGATAGGAAATCACTCCCTGACTTAAGCTCTCTGCTTATCACACAGATATGAGATTGATCTTCTGTTAACTATTCCCACTGAACAAATGAGACACAGGTCTATGTACCATGTACACCACTGCATTCATGACAATAGAGTTGCTTATTTTTTCTTCATCTGCTTGTCATTAATCCTAGAAATAGATGATTTTGTATACTTAAATAGATCCTGTATAAGTCCTGTCAGTTTTCCACATTATGTTTTAATTACTTGTAGTATTCTCTTGATATAGTTATTTATATATATGCTCATACTTTCCCCCCCATATATATTTGAATAAAGACATAATTTTTCCTTCTCTTAGGGACATTTCTCGGGGCTATGAGGCAGTTCCTATCACCTGTGTTAATGGTGTCGACAGCGAGCCGTGCCCTGAAAACTTTAAATACATACCAGACAACTGTGTCACCTCCCCACTGAACATAGACAAGGACATCACTCACTTACAGGTGAAACTTCAGCTCTCTGTAGCTATTATTTATTACAGTGCTCTAAAGAAGGTAGAACAAGACACATTTAATATCTCTGTGTGTATTTAAAGAATGAGTCTGGTTATATTCTATACTTTTGTTACAGTCAACAAGTCCCATGTACACACCCAAACCAACAATGAATGTATCTACTGACAAAGCCTGATATATATTCTTCCTCTGTGACATAGAGCTCCACACCAAAAACTATTATAAACATTACCAGGAACACACACACTAAAGTTTATTTTGACTCAATCCCTCATACACCGTCCTGCTGCCCCAACTCAGTAGAGCACCAAATGTGGATTAATCTGCTTCTAAAAATAGTCCCCAACAAATTCACTATTTCCTCCTTTTTGAGAATTTCTTTTAATAAAACTACAGTGTGAGCTGGGGGACTCCCTTTAACCAAATATCAGTTTTTCATTGTCCAGTTGAAAAGAGAAAAACACTCCAGTTTGAGTAAACTGCTACAAACAGGCTTGCTGTTTCTATTTTTCCGCCATGCTGTCATATTATGTACATTAAATTAAACCATTGAGTCATATAAAATGTCATAATACCTGACTTATAATAGATCACTGATTGTGTCATTCAGCACTGCAGCTGCACAGACGACTGCTCGTCCAGTACCTGCGTGTGCGGCCAGCTCAGTCTGCGATGTTGGTATGACAGCGTAAGTTCACACACACACACACACGATGTGATGATATGATTTTGACAGGTCTTGAAAATTGATTGGATTAATGAAGTTAATGTTACGTTTGTGAAGTTGCATTTGTCAATCTTTTTTTTGCATTTTGGGGAGAAATTTCTATTGATCATACTGAAGTAGCTACAAAATGAAACCGTCATGGTACCAGTTCCCTTTTCCTTCATATCCTTTGTACTTTTATTGTCAGTATGTAAAAATATAAATGTAAAATAATTCTTAAATTGCATTAATAATGGACTTAGTCTTATATTTAACCTGTAGAACCTGCAGAAACCCTGTATTTACAGATTCAAATTTCCATTAGCTTTCCTCCAAAACAGAGGGTACAGGTTTTAGACTACCTGCTTAATTATTTTCTTTTCTCAAATTATTTTTAGCTAAGCTAAAGAATCAAACACCTGTCTGTCTGGAAACAGCAGATACAATCTGTGTTTTTATCCCTGGTAGCAGTTTGAAACATGTTGCTTGGTGTGTATGTAGGAGGGTCGACTACCTCTGGACTTCTGTCAGCGGGAGCCTCCAGTGCTGTTTGAGTGTAACCACGCCTGCTCCTGCTGGAGGACCTGCAGGAACCGAGTGGTCCAGAACGGAATGAGGTGACCTATTCCACTTTTTGGTTGTGTGTTTGCTTGATGCAAAGCAGAAAGTGTTTTTAACACACCTGAAGCTGTTTGGTAGCTGCCAAAAAAATCATAAGAAGCTTTTTAATTGCAGATTGATGTGTAGCTCTCTTAATCCATCACTGTTCTAAAGTTTTAATATCTAAGGATAAAACAAAAACACAAGGGGACTGGGCTACTTCCAGAGACTGCATACTGACCCCATTTATACTTGTCATTTCAAGTGTCTCATATACAGATAAAATCCAGGTTCCACTGTTATTGTCTGTCTATTAGATTTCAATCCATTTCAAATGCTTCTTGGTTGTGTTTACATGGTCATGGACGGTTTACCAGCTGAGTTAAACCCCATGCCACAGGGATTAAGCCTCAGGTTCTCTGTTTACCAATCAGTTTACACTCAAGAAGTCATGTTACTCAGTGAAACCATGTTATCCTGGTTATAGTTTCAGCTACACACTTGGAAGGCGAGTGATATTCAGCTTGTTGCAAGGAGTGAAATATATCTTTATTGTCCACCAGCTTGGAATTTTGGCTTCGGCTCACCAAAACAAGATACAGCATCAGCAACTGACAAGTAGTTAGTAAAACAAGCACATTGACAAGGTCACGTCACACATTTAGAAACAGCTCATGCCGGTGTCTGTAGCTTAAATCTCATCAGGCACTTTCTAGAATTCACAATATTAATGGTCCTTGGGATGTAGGTCCCAGAGCGCCAAGGCACAAACTGGCTGCAATCTTTGGCTAGATGCCACTTAATCTTACATTAAGTGGCATAAAGTCCCGTATTAAGACTTTTAATTAATTTAGTGATCACAAAAAATTGTTTTAAAATAGATTTTCCTCAAACTAACTGACGCACATACAACCTTGGCACATAAGTACTAGTTGGTTGCTTCACTGTGTGCACTGTACTAGAGATGACAGTGTACATGCAAAGGACAGGTTGTATACCAGGCCAGTGAAAAAGGGACTCAATTTTCTGTTCCAGGAAAAAGATAAGCTATCTAGGTTGTTTTTCTCCCTTAAAACTGTGTTTTTTTAATAACATCAATGTCATTTTTTTCCTTATTGTTCCTTCCGCTCCATCAGCTGCTGGACGAGATCATTGCCTTGTCATTTGTTTCAGAGCCCGGCTGCAGGTCTTCAGGACACAGAAGATGGGCTGGGGAGTGAGGGCCATGCAGGATATCCCTCAAGGAACATTCATTTGCGAGTGAGGACAGGCTGTCATAAGAGAAAGGACTGAATTCAGAGTTTTACAGCATGAAATATTAAACAGCAGCTGCACTCTGAGCTCTCCCTCCCTCCATGCTTCCACAGGTATGTTGGGGAGATCATCACTGACGCAGAGGCCGACAAAAGGGAGAATGACTCTTTCCTCTTCACCCTCGACAATAAGGTGACTGAAATAGTTCACATGAATTTTTAAAGCTGCACTAGGCGACATGTTGGTTCTGAGGCATAATTGCACGTAGGAAGTGTTTACCAACTTGGCCATTCTGCTTGGTAAAAGAAAAAAGAGGAAAAAAAAAGAGCTGATGGTCCCGAGTCCAGCTTTCTGCAGACAATGCTCTGTTAGTACTGGTTTCTATTTTACTTTCAGAGTTTTGATTTGTCACCAGTGACCATATTGGCACTAGGGCTTGTATTTAGCAAGCGTCTCTGAATCACTGTTTTTCAGACATATATTTACACATAAGTTTACAGTTGCAGTTTGTAGAATTTGACAAGAGCAAAAATAAAAACGCAGAAAATACTAATAGAAAATAGAAAATTAAGCTTTTATGGGCATGTAACAAAGGTTAGCTCGCCTCTGAATTTTGCTGCATTTTGGACAGTTTTGGAGTGAAATGTCACTTCCTGTGCCCACTATGTGGTGCTAGAGAATGGCCAATAAATATACATTATGTGCCAGCATATCATGTGTAAACTATCAGATGCATCCATGCAGGGCTTAATTCAGAATCTCAGACCAAAACAATGGGACAGAAATAAAATACAACTCACCAAAAGCATTTTTTTAGTTTTTCCAACAATCAATAACTCTGGTTTTTGTCAAAATAAACCCTTAATACACCAAGTTAGATGTGAAAATATTCATGAAAAGGACCACAGTGGTACAAAGTAACACCAAACCTTGGGGATGAATGCACATGTTAAAGTCTCTCCCATAAAAGTATTTTTTGCCACTGACAGGCTCAGATTGTTATTCTTAATAATTGAGTATTCTAACAGAAACTCCCTAAAACCATCTTTGTTAGTCTTTCCACTGTTACAAC